GTTCTAATGACAATGAACTTCAGTGGAATAGGATCTCGGCCGCCATGCACGACGCAGGAGCATCTGCTTGTGGAACTGTCCATCGTCACCGCACCAGGCACTGGATATCCGAGAGGTCGGTGAACCTGTTGAAATCTAGAAGAAACCTCCCGTCTGGCTCTGAGCACAGTGTGACCAGACGGGCTATTAGGCGTAAACTAAAGCAGAGCCTACGTACTGACAATGAAGCCTGGTGGACCAGTAGGGCTCAAGAAATGGAGAAGGCAGGAGCAGTAGGCAATTACCGCAAGCTCTTCCAGCTGATCCGCACCACTGGTCCCAGGAAAGCAGGCGTCAGTGGACAAGCAGAGACAGCGCGGGTGCACTGCTACACAATAAGGAGCTCCGTATGGCTCGTTGGGCGGAACACTTTCAAGATCAGTTCAGCTGGCCCCCTGCTCCCGGACCTCTTCCGAAGCAGGTGATGCAGGACGAGCCATGCACGGTTAGGTTAGTCTCAGTCGGGGGTCGAGATCCGAAATGTCATCACAGCACTCAGTCGTTTTCGTGCCGCTGGCCCGTATTCTCTCCCACCTGCTCTATTTAAGGATGGAGGTGAGGTCCTCTGTAAAGCACTGACCCCCCTATTTGAAAGCATCTGGAAGGAAGGGAGTGTCCCGGCTGATTGGAGAGAATCGATTATAGTGGCAGTATACAAGAAGGGCAGTTGCACAGACTGTTCTAACCACAGGGGTATTGGTCTAACGCCAGATGTGACAAAATTACTGGCCTCGATTCTCGTTTGTCGCCTCACTGTGGAACGGGAATCTCGGATTAGGGAAAAGCAGGCAGGTTTCCGTCCAGAACATGGCTGTATGGACCATATATTCACTTTGCGGCAGGTGCTAGATCAGCGCCACGCATGCTGCAGACTGACAACAGCTGTGTACCTTGGTTTCAAGAATGCGTTCGATTCAGTCAATCGATGCATTTTGTTTGAAATACTTACGCAGAAAAGTGTTCCCACGAAATATATGAACATCCTACGTGCTCTATACTCGAACACTACAGGCCGCCTCAGGGTCTACCGTGCCCTATCGGATAGCTTTCCAACCAAAAGTGGCGTTCGTCAGGGTTGTCCGATTTCCCCATTTCTGTTCAATTCCGTTGTGGATTCTATCATGGAGTGTTTCCTTGGGGAATCTCCCGATGTAGGCATTGAAGTGCCGTCGGGTGAAAGCTTAGCTGACCTTGATTATGCGGATGATATCTTGTTGATTTTCGACGATGTTGGGGAGGCCCAATCAACCCTGAATAGCCTGTCCACAATGGTCTCATTATTTGGTATGCACTTCGTACCTTCAAAGTGCAAAGTGTTGCTGCAGGACCACCAGCCACTTGATGACCCCTTGACGCTTGCTAACGAGGAACTCGAGGTGGTTGATCAATTCACTTATCTTGGCAGCTGTATCAGCAACGATGGGCGCATAGAGACTGACGTCAGCTCATGCATTGCAAAGGCCAGAGCTGCCTTCTTGAATCTGCGGCATCTTTGGCGACAGTAGGGAGTTTCCCTCCGTCTGAAAAGCCATGTATACAAGGTCACAGTGAGGGCCGTTCTGCTCTATGGCAGTGAAACTTAGCACTTTCGGTCTGAAGATCTGAAGCGACTTTAGGTATTGGAGCATCGAGGTCTGCGAAGCATTGCTGGTGTCGGATGGCAGCAGCGTGTTCGCAACGATGATATGCGTAGGCGAGTACTAGGTGGTGATAATCAAGCTATTTCCCTAGAACAACAGATAGCATTGAATAAGTTGCGTTGGCTCGGGCAGGTACTACGTATGCCTGGTCCCCGGTTACCTTGGAGGGCCTTGTTTAGTCTACCAGGTTAGGGTGGCGCAAGGCTCGATGTGGACAGAAGTTGACTTGGCAGCGGGAAATGAAGTTAATGACGAGCACACTGTGTGCCGTCGGTCCGTCTCGTCATCCAGGTGAGAGTCCACTTGACTCGCCTTGTGCCTGGCTCGAGACTTTACAGGACATGGCTCGCAACTGACACCAGTGGCACGTCTGCTACCGTCTTCTAATCGGATTGCCTGTTTAAAGTGTGTTTGGTGCTGAGTTATCTGCGGGGTAATGGCTGATTATTATGCAGGGAAGTGAAAGCTGTAAGGAAGCTGTCTCGCCGATGCCGCTTTATCTTTGCTTGATAACCAGCTGTTTGTGACAGTATGTTGTCTACACAAGGTGTAGGCGCCTTGACGCTGAATGTTTGCTTAGGACATTAAGGTTTTCAGATTAGTCCCCCTTCTCTCTCTCTTCTCATTCTTTATTCCATAGGTCCCCATGGTTGTATGGCAGCGAAGCATTAGTTCAAATGGCTGATGTATTGGTGTTGTTGATTGTTGTTGATTGAAGCTCATCTTCCTTGCACTTCTTAATTAGCTCAGGTCCAGCCGCGCCCTTCCGTCAAAGCAACCTCAACAAGGAACTCAACAGATTAAAGGCAACAAAAGCTTGTGGTCCTGATGCTCTCTCTTACCCTTAGCTTTGACAGAATGTGCTGATTCTCTCACACTGCCTCTAACAGATATATTTAACAAGTGCCTCACAACGGGTGTGATCCTGGACATTTGGAGGGAGGCCAGCATTAGTCCAGTACCAAAAACTGAATCTCAAAAGTGTTATCCAATTGCATGTACATCAGTGCTCCTAAAAGTTTTCGGATACTTGTTAATTCCGAGGAATTTTTCAGCTGCTCCTGAAGACGATATCTACCAGTTTGCATATAGATCCTAGCGCTCCACACTGGATACAGTGGCATATGTTTTTTTTCTATAGCCTCTGTATTTGGTCAAAAATGTAAATCCGCACGGCTTCTCTTCCTGGATTATTCGAACGCCTTTGGAAGTCTGGATAGGTCAGGGTTGCTAAACATGCTTTCCTAAAATAGAGTTCTCCCTGGTGTCTGTAATCTTTTATGTGAGCATTTTACAGAACGTACTCACTTCACCAAGTTGAACGGTAAGAAATACTCTGTCCTCCGTGCCGACTGTGGTGTTCTACAGGAAGCGAGCATATCAACTTTTCTATTTTTCCTGTACGTTGAACATCTTCCTGTACAAACCACGTTTATAGGGTGTAAGTATGCTGATGATGTTGTGCTGGGATGTATGTCCCCCATTAACCAGGATTCCTCATCCCTTCAATTTGGGTTGGAAGATCTGATGGAATGGTCTTCATCCATATCTCTTATGCTTAATGCTTCTAAATGCAGGGATGTATTATTATCTTTTCTACGTGGAGATAAGTGGCAGTCCTTTATAGGTTACTCTCCCACACTTACTGTAAATGAAAATCCCATACCCAGCTCTTCCACCGTCAAGTATGTCGGCGTTTTTAGTCCCAGAATCTTTCTTGGTCCGCGTACGTCTATAAAACTTTTCAAAAAGTCAGCAACCTTTCTTTGTATGCCCTCCGATGTAAGGTGGTTTCAGTACCTCGTTCTTTAATATTAAGGTTTGTTATCTCTAGTATTATTCCCCTTTGGCTATACTGCTCTTTTGTCATTCACTTGGTCTGCTTCAGAAAGACTACATCTTGTTTGTGCGGTCTATAAAGCACATTGTTAGATGCAACGGCTTGTCTAGGGATTCTTTTGTTGATTTGATTATTATAAGAAGTCAGGGTAAGCGAACACATGTTTTCGATAATTTATCTTCAGGCTTATACAATTATATGCAAATCGAAATGTGCAGACAGACATTGCAAGTTGTTACTACTGGAGCGAATTAATTGGATGCTGACAACGCTGTCGGTTAAGCCAAGACAATCGACAGCGTGTGACCTCGTGAGTCAGAGGTCACCGGCCGTTTGGGCCAGGGCAGTCCGAAGCCTTTGGTTAGCTTCTTCTGAACACATAGCTCCGGTTCATACAGCCGGATCGCAATTGCTTCAGCGGCTTCTAGTAGTCGCTTGCGGACGTAGTTCGAATGGTGCTTTGGGGCTTGATAAATAATTTTGAAAGAACCAGTAAACTTTATAAAGTGCCCTGTATAGGCTAGGTGCGCGGCTATTGAATTCGCTATTGAGTTCGCTGTATTTCCACTTCTAGTTCTAAGCCCGAATGGATGGTGTTCCTTCATTCTCTCAGATGGACGCCGTATCGTGCGACGGATGTATTCCGCTCCACAGAAGCATGAAAATGAGTAGATACACATTGAGTTGGTGTGGACAGGCCTCTTATCCCTTGAGTTTAGTCTCACCATCGGAATGCCAGTAAACTGGATTTGCATCTGCGTTGCTGGATAGGTGCGTCTAACTGCAAACGAAAGACGACGAGATAAAAGTTCCTTCACTACCTCGCCCTTGTATGGTAGCTAAGAAGATTGGCTTACCTTCTACTGTCAAAACTACAGGCTTTTTCTTCTTATGTTCCAGGTTGGCTCTTTAATTATTTCTAGATATCTTTGCGCCTGCAAAGGTTTTTTCTTCTAAGGCACTAACTGATCGATTTCATTCACTTCACAATAAGCTTTCCAAAACGCACTGTTTCTCTTCTACTCGTATGAAATTCAGAAATTTCTTCTCCCGCACGTCATCATATCATAATACTGTTTTGCCTTATCTTTCACGATTGCTTGTTGACCCAGCGAAAGTCACAAACAAGCTGCGCGAGCGCTTGTTGGAGTAACAGTTCTGCTTATTTCCACTTTTCTACCCACGCATGTATATGGATATTATCATCCAGGTGTCCGCAGGGTTGGTGTAAATGCTGAAAATGAACCCATTAGGGTATATTAAGCTTATTTTGACTTGACTTGGCTTGAATGGATTGGTGAGACTAAAATTCACTCAGCTAATGCGAAGTGCGTCTTTTGCATTCGTCACTCACGCACAATGCACTTTACGTCCCACCGTTTTTGACGCCGCAACAACCAGCTTACCTTGACCTTGAATATGCAGAGTTCGTAACAAAATTCACACCCCGCATCTTACGCCTGTCACTTGTCAGTGGCAGGATGAAGAAACGTGCAGTCTACGACGATGAAGTCACTGAAAAACTTGAGATGATGTTGGCACTAATGACGGATGTTCAAAAACTCATTGAATATGTGAGTTCGCATTAACTATCCCAGTTCAATAAATTGTTCTCAGAGGTCACAAATGCCGGTCGCAGAAACAGTTGCCAGCACTGAGAAAACCGACATCGTCAACACTCCACAGGGGCCCCTTGATAGGTTTGTTTCATAAAGAATTACTCAAAGCTGGATCCTATTTAGAGTCACACAGGTGGCTGAACTGAAGGAGCAGTTAGGCCAATTGCTAGCGCACCACAGGACAGCGGTTTTTAATCAAAATTACCTGGATAATCTGAAAACCCGCAGGCTCAAATTAACAAATAAGCTGATGGCCAACACTCGACAGCTTTGTCTGAAAGAGGCTGAAGTAGATCCATTGGTTGTCGACAACTTTTAATGGAAAGCTTCTTCCAGGTTCAACAGGCCAGAAAAGCCGAAGCTCTTGCTAACTGGGAGTTAATGTTCTTAAAAGCACAATGCGGTGGGATGCATGGAAGGAATTGGAAAGTGAGCATAAGGGAATTTAGGAGACGAATCAATTCCAGGTAAGAGTTAGCCACAGGATATGAAAATAATGAACGGTGGCTCGAAGTCCTATCAAATTCTGTTGAAAAATCCTTAGAGATAGGAATACTTGTCGCCAATCAAAAGGTGGTTAACACTTATGTTTGACATAATCACCTTGAGGTCACTTTCGCTTATTTTTCAACAGAATTTGTCCTTTTACTCGCCTACAAGAGCAAATGAGTGGATAAAGTTTGAGTGCAGTCATTAACAACCTGTTTACCATTTAAAATCTCTAATTATTCTATTAAAACGTGTACGGCATGCCATCCAAGTATTCCGGGTCGACCGATAATCCTTGAAAAGTTAGGTATATCGACTCACATTTATCTTTAGGATTGAATTGTTTTCTATGTTAAAACCACAGATATGGAAAGGCTGCAGGGCTTGTTATGAGAAACAATTCCATTGACTCCATTACGTATTACAACCTTAGGATGAAAGTAATTGGTGAGAGGGGGGTTGTCCAGTTGCTCTAGCTACTGGACGTTAGACGCCATCTGACATAGAACAGGATATTACTCGTGAGTAGCAAAATTTTGATGTACTATCTTAAGGTATTGTCCCACCACCACCACGACCTATCTTCCACTATCACTGACAATAGCTAGCCTGCGAGTACCGGATAACTGAACATATGAACTCACAGAGGCGGAGGCATCTTTTTTCGATTAGTTCATCACTGTGGCTGAGATTGGCGTTCGCAATTTCAAGGTGGCTATGGGAGGCTTGCAGTATGCAAGCTGCAGCTCCGCACCCATTTTACCCCCGGAAGAATCAAAGAAGGTAACATGTGGGCGGCAGTTACAATAAATCCGGTGCTGACCCAATATCCTCCTGGTTGCATCACTTTTCTCCTCGACCAGCGGGGGTCAATAATGGTTGTTTTTTGGGTAGGTGAACAAGTTGATCAGCAAAGGCAAGTCAAAGAAAATATACAAGCACGCAGTCTCCACAGTTTGTTATTTAAATCTCTACCCCGAATCTGAATCAGCGGCAGCCCCTCACTTCGTTTACTAATGGTGAGGTTCACTCTTCGGACAAAGCAATTGACCCTAGGTACCCTTCATCCTAATCGCAATCGTCACTAATAGATGTCCCTACTATGGCATCACCGGGTACGGATGGCCCATCCGCATAGTTGAATAATGGTCGGTGGTACTTTCAAAGCAGCATCTCTCCTGCTGGTGAGTTTTTCATCACTTGTTCCCGCTCTCACTATTAATGAGCCTTGCGGAACAACCTCCTCGTGATGCCAGCTGGGTGGTCCGGGATTATTCTGTTCCAACCAAAGGTTTTGGCGGCATTGTTCCAGGATGCGGTGGGTTTTCGCCTGGCAAGCGAACTCCCTATAAAAAGCCATCTCTGTCCGTTTAAAAACACTGTGACTTGGCGGATGAGACTCGTCACTAAATAAAGTCAATGCCCCTTGCGTCACTCTGAGTGACGTTGTAATTCAAGGGTGTGTTGTGCCCCTGGACCTATGTGGTCTTAAAGGCGGAAAAACCACTTGTCCGGTCACCAGATTCCAACAATTTGCAATATCATCATATGGCCCTGGTGCCTTGTAGGTTAGATCCAGGATCAAAGGCTCGGACTGTGGCCCGCTAAGACAATTATATTCTTTGGTTCTGGCAACCGGATAGTATCTAGCCCACTGACGAACCATGGATTGACCACCCCTTCCGTCCTCAATAAAAACCAAAAAAGTCAAAAACTGTGAGTGGAAAATGGACAAAATGTCATCTGTTATTTTATTCCTTTAATCGACGCCTGTTTTCCTATTTCGTCATGGTTTCGAGGATAAAATATCTGTACATAGCTGGTGTTTTATATATATATATATGTATATATATATATAGCACATATGTACAAACTTTTGCATAAGACCGGTTCATGTTCAGTCGACATTAGTCCATCACTCAGTCAAGTTGAGTTGAGACGGCAAGCACAACGGCAGCAAAGATGTAATGGCTGGGCAGTAATCTGTTATATCAAGAAAGCACAATTCGAAGTTGTAGCAGTTATAAAACCAGTTCATCTACCCATTACTGATAACACACAGCCTTTGTCTGGAGCCAGTAATCAGAATGTCTGTGTCAGAATAGGAAGCATATTAGAAGCATTTACATCCAATATGAAAGGATTTATTAGGTCGGCTACCTCCTAAAGCAGTCACCAGTGCAGTTATTACCGATCTCAGATTAACCGGTCATGTATGCTACTACCTTTCGCAACTTTGCCAGAACACTAACATCCGAGGCAACAGCCTGCAACTGAGTCAACAACATGTCGTCTAAATTATTAACAAAGCATTTCTCTCCTCGGGTCTGTCAGCTTTTGAATGCACTTCCAAACTCACTTGTCTGTGCCCCAACTCTACAGCCTGGCTGAACCATCGACGTAGCCTGGCTGAACAATTGCTTTCTAGACCAAAGCAACTATTTTCATACCTTACCTGTTCTTCCAAGGCCGGCTGTGGAATTGCTGCATTGTATACGAATGAGCCAGTTATAATACACTATGAAGATGACACTAAAGCTGACCTCTTGGCGCTACAGTTCTCCTCAGTATACACGAAGGGAGAAAAAGTCGCAAACAATCATGCACTTGCACATACAGTGCCTCTAGGACATATGGATATCGATGCAGGTGCTACCTTGATGTTACTACTAGAAGTGAATTCATCTTCCTCACCAGGCCCAGATGGTCTACACCCCCATTTTCTCAACATGGTAGCAGAATTCATTGCCGTCCCACTTTGTCATATTTTGTAGCTCTCTCTGAAAGCTGGTCGACTACCTGTCGATTGGAAGACGGGTGTAGTTATGCCGAAATACAAGGGTGGAAACCGACAGGACACTGCGAAATATCAGCCGATTTGCTTGATGTCGGTCGCCTGCATGATCACGGAAAAGCGCATTAAAAATGCCAACCACCGACACTGCGAAGATCTGAATTTCACTCCGTCTACTCAGCATGGCTTCCGAAAGGGATAGTTCTGCAACACTAACCTACTGGTCGCTAGAGAGAATTGGGCTAAGTCAATGGACGCTGGAAGAAGTTTAGATGGGGTCTCCATCGATTTCAGCAAAGCTTTTGACAGAGTCCCTCATCAGGACCTACTCTCTATGCTCTGCGGAATTGGCATAACATAGAACCTCTTACTATGGATCAGTGACTTCTTGCAAGACCGGAACATGCAAGTCAAGGTAAACGATACCCTTTCATTTCCAGTGCTTATGTATAGTGGCGTACCACAAGGCTTCGTTCTCAGATCGCAATTATTCAAGATATATATCAATGACCTGCTAAGTATGCTACAAAAGGACTGTCTGATTTATGCAAACGAACTCAAGCTATGGTCAGAAGTGTCTAGCAGCGAACAAGCCGACCGATTACACGAAACGTTTGATCTACTACACGCTTTATCTATCAAGTGAGGTTTGTCGGTCAACAAAGATAATTCCTCTGTCCTTTCCATCGGCGCTGCTGAACCACTGGGCATCTATCACATTGGCTGGCACCTATTCAAGATTACCACACAGGAAGAGAACCTGGGGACAATAGAATTCTCTGATCTCAAAATTACCCGTGACACACTAAAGAAAACTGCTGTAGCGAACAGGATGTGGGGTGTCATAAGGAGATCGTTATTTAAAATGACGCCACAGATATTTAGACTTCTCTTCATCTCCCACATCCGTCCCATCCTTGAATTCGGACTTCCGTCCATAGCTTCTCTATCGAAGCATGAAAGTGTCTAGATAGCAAAATTCAGCGACGAGCCTCGAAATTTGTCTTTGGGCTACACGAACTCCCGTACTCTGCCCGACTAGAGAGGATGAACCTTTTTCCCTCAGACTATCGCCGACGTCGTGGAGACCTCATCTATACTAGGCGTATAATACAAGGAGAACTGGGAAACGAGCTGAGGCAGTTTTTCAGTTAAGACTTGACAGTTCGACTCGAGGTTATAGCTGGAAGCTGTTTAAACCGAGGAGGTTAAAATTCCGCTCAGATGTTGCTCTCTCTACTCAAGGAATTAATGATTGAAACCGATTGGACCCGGTTGTCAATGCGCAGTCAGAAGCGGATATCAAACTTTTCCTAGACTTCTTTCTACTCAGTACTCCAGGATTCTGCAGGATTGATACTGCATCCTGAGCTATGCCACAGCTACTATGCTTGCAATCCTTGGAAGATCGGGAAGTGAAGGAGCTGATACCGGACCTCCCTTCTGCTCTCTACCACTCAATGAACTCAATGAACCGTTTCTATTAATTTCAAAAAATATATCATTCATGGATCAAATGAGCGTGTAACACGTCTGTTACTGTATTTAGCGATCTAAATCGAAAGAGAACCATGCATATTCAGGAAGGTTACTGAGACTCAATAACTAGTAGAATTATGTGCCACATGTTCACTCTGTTTCGTTTGCGGTTGTGAAACTAGTATTGACAATTTCATTGTTTTGATAAGTCAGTTGGGGTAGTCCACGGAGCTCAATGGTCTAGTGATCATGGCGATAACCGCCAAGCACTATGCGCCGAGTTCCACTCCCAGCTCGGCTATCTCTACCTGATGAGTCTAAATAAAGAAGAAACCGTCGGTCGTGGAGTGCGGGGATGAGAGAGAGACCACAACGAAACCCTCTAGTTCATAGCAAATTTCAGTGGGACGGGGACAGAAGCGAATTTCAATGGAGGTTATTTCTTGATTGTGTCCTTGAACAAGATCAGGGTTCATGGAATCAATTTGGAATCGAGGAGAGACAAACAATGCACTCAAATCCCATCACGGTCAACTTATCATTATCCACGGGGCCTACATTAGCGGTCCGGTAGAGCAAAGTAAGCACACAAGTGAAGAGAATTAAAAACAGCAGAAGAACAAACAAGAGACTGGCATTCCTAATGCAGGCAAGTAAGAGTAAATGAGGTACCGGAAGCGATAAGATGAGATTTCTATCAAATAG